GGAATTTTCATTGTTTTGGGAATTTTGAATTATTTGAGAATATCTGAATTTGGACTTTATTCTTACTCCAAGTGTTTGAAGTTTCAGAATTCTCTCAAAGCTGTTTATTCTGGGATCTTCGAGTGTTGTCTCCCTGCTTTATAAGGTCTCTGCACAATGCAGTGCTACTTCAGTACTTGATAGTCGGACACACCCTGCAGGCTTCAAACCCAAATATTGTCTGTAACAACGCTTTGTCCAAAAATGGCAGGACAGTGATGATCACTAAAACAGTTCCCACCTCGCTGTGCGTCTCAGCCATCTCTTTAACAAACTGAGTCTGCAGAGTTTCAGGCAGCAGTGAGTACAAAGTGTTGGGCAGATCCTCTTTGTCCTTCTTGTAGTTTGCCTTCAAACAAAAGAATAAAAAATGTTTTAATCCTACACGAAAAACTTAAAAACAGTTATTGTTTTTACTATAATACTAATAATAGAAGTAGTGCTGCAAACTGTAGATTTCTTACAGACACAGATCCTCTGAGATCTGATGAAACTATACACCTGTGTGGTGCGTTCAGGGTCCTCACCTCACTCTGTATTTCTGACATCTGTTTGGCGAACTGTGTCTCTGCCGTCTCTGGGAGCAGCGAGTACAAGTTCTTACTGATCTCCTTCTTACCCTCCTCTTTGTACTTCACCTACACACACACACACGCACTGACTTTAAACAGCTGACACACAGCAGGGACACTTTCACATTCAGACTGTGTCTCTGTGTTTCTCACCTCACTGCAGATGTCTCTCAGCTCTTTGGCCAGCTGTGTCTCTGTGGTTGCAGGTAGCTGATGATACAGAGAGCTGCTCACCTCCTTCTTACCGTCCTGTTTATACTTCACCTACAAAGACACCAAACAACAGGCAGAATTCAAACTGCAGAGGAACATTTGCTTGTGTTTTCTCTCTTGTCTGTGATGTGAGTACCTGACTCTGCAGCTGAGCCACCTCTTTGGCGTGCTGAGTCTCCAGAGTCTCGGGCAGCTTCGAGTACAGAGAGCTGGACGCTTCCTTCTTCCCTGCTTCTTTATATTTGCTCTGCAAAACAAAGAG